GGGTCGAATCTGAACCCAAACTATGACGAGTCATTGTGGTGCTGAGCTGAAGGTGTCTAAAAACACAACATGTTTTCCTGAACTGAACCAGAAACAAGTGAAAACCGAAAACAAACGACAGGAAACACAACTGACTTAAAGTCTTGACTTGAACTTTTTCAAAATGGCCGCCTCCCCCACCAGGTCACATGTCACGTTTACTTCCTGATCCTGAACCATCCCGTCTCCATGTCGGGGATCATTTATAATTCTAACTAATTTAAGAAGCTACTGCGTTGGAGACACTCAGATGGATCTGAAGCTGCAGATGTTTAATAAACTCAGAGGAAAGAAACAGTTGGAGGCGACGAAGAGCCTTCACTTGATCACTCCATCGCTCCATCACTTGATCACTCCATCGCTCCATCACTTCATCACTCCATCACTCCATCACTTCATCACTCCATCACTCCATCACTCCATCGCTTCATCACTTCATCACTCCATCACTTCATCACTCCATCACTTCATCACTCCACATGACCTCTTCTTGTGTGTGTTTATCTGTTAATGTTGGTCAAACTTTTAAGGTTTGAAGGTGGTTCTGGATCCATTCTGGTGCCGTTGTGACTCTTACAGACAGAAACGTTGGTCTGTGATCAGATTAAAATGAAGGCCTTTAGGTTCGGTGTCAGACTCACCCCGATGCTGCCCTCCTGCCGGTACTGCCTCCAATTGTGTCCGGTGTCGCTGAACATCAGCAGGTAGCTCGTCTGCCAGTCGGAGCTGCCGTAGCGGCCTTGTGTGGCCACGGCGGTGATCTGGGTCCGTCCGCCCAGGTCCACCTCCAGCCACTGGTACCCGTCTGAGCTGAGAGGAGACCAGCCTCCGGCTCCTGGTGGGACAGACGAAGCAGAGAAACAACGGTGATAGTTCAGACTGCTGCAGAGCTACAGGAGGATGAACTCATCAACACACATCCTCCACTAACGAGAGGCTTTAATCCCAGCGTTCAGAAACATCTCAGAGAACTTCCTCCATCAGACGCTTCCACAGTTTAAACGCCCTGAACGCAGCAGCAGCTTGATCAGCTTCCTGCTTTGATGTCTAATGTGGAGCCGTCAGAGAGTTTAATCTGTCGCTCAGGGGGAGTTCCTCTGCAGAGGAGGAAAGAAAAGAAATGCAAATGTTGTACAATATGAAATTAAGTGGCCGGTTTGAAGCAGACGCTCAGTGGAGACGTGATGAATAACTTCAAAAGCTGTTTGTTTGTTTGTTGTGTCATTTGAACACAAATTCAACACATTCCTACACTTGTGAGGACTTTTCCATAACTGCTTCAAACCTTTTATTCCCATCAGATTCATTCATTCCTTCACTTTAACCTCCACGTGGTGGTTTCTGACCGTTCATACGTCCTTGTTTCGTTAACGCCTGATGACGAGCTGCATGCTGACGAGCACCGAGGCAGCACAAACACAACTCTGACTCCTGGACATTGTGTTCATGTGACGCTGAACGCATCCTGAGTGTTTCTGCTAAAGGCGCTGATTCAGCTCCTTCAAACTCATCCACGTGCATCAAAGCTGCACATTCAGAACCAGACGGATCCGATCCAGCCTCAGAACAGCTTCCATGTGATTAACATGTTTAGATGTGGCTGTGTGGAGACGGTGAAGGCCACCAACGCTGCAGCTCCAGCACACCAGCTCCACTCCTGCTCCTCCAATGTTTGAATCAGAAACCGAGTATGAAGAAAAATACGAACACGGAAAGCTCAGGACTGGTTCCTTGAGCTTGTTATTTACAAAATAAAAATCAAATTAGGTTAAATTATAATTTCAAAAGAAATGCCCCAAAAAATATGTTAAAAACTGAATAACTTTAACTTTGAAAAACTGTGAAAATAACAGCAAATATCTATAAAATAAAGATGTTTTTAGTTCATTTAAACACAGTGAAATGGTAATTTCATGGTCGCACTTTGTAAATGACTCATTTTCAAAAATATAAATATCTGTAAAGTCAGGATGTCTGCTGGTTTGAATGGAGTAAAACAAATTGTGCCATTTTTACAGTCAAATATTTAAAAGAACAAATTGTAAAAATTCTGAGTTTCTGAATATTTATTTACAGTTTCAGCCTGTTTTTGTTTTTGTTGTTTGTTTTTAGGGTTACTGTGTAAATTAATACTTTCTGTTATTTTACTTGTTACCTCAAAAAAATAATTAATTCAAGTCACAGCAAATATATGTAAAACAATGACATTTCAGCGCGATTTAAATTTTTTTTAAAGTATTTTTCATTGAAATGTATTGACAGAATGAATGATCATTTTTAATGCTTATTTTTATTTTATTTATTTTATTATTTAATTTCAGTTTATTTTATTTTTTTATTTTATGATTTTAGTTATTTTATTTTATTCTTTTGTTTTTACTTTATTATTTCATTTTATTATTTATTTTCTTTATTTAATTTGTAATTTTTTTATTATTATTATTATTGAAACTGGAGGCTGGTACTAAATACATCTCACTGCCTGTTGTACTGTGTATAAATGTGTATGTGACCAATAAAGCTTATCTTGAATCTAAAAATACAGATTTTTGGGCTTTTGGGGGAAAATGGGGCAAATCTGTAAAACAACAGTTAATTGCTCAGAAAGTACCGTTAAAAACTTTTTTTTTCTTTGTAAATCATTTGTTTTTCACAGTGTGTTGGACTGATGATGGTTTTTAACCCTGAACCCTGGTATCAGAGTCCTGTGCTCCGTGAGCCCGTCCTCCACCTCGACCTCCTCCCTCATAAATCAACACGATGCCTCTGAACACTCAGCAGGATTCAGGAAGCAGTTGATTGATGCCTCAGAGGCAGAGCTGCTCTGATTTAACTCTAAACCGGAGACGCTGAGCGAGTAAACATGTAAACAATGAAGGGTTTGAAACTTTTCATAAAGAATTAACTCTTTTTTTAAATTGTAAACACACCGTGGCCTCAGAGTGCATCTCCAGCATCTTCTCGGAGCTCCACTGCTTCTGTCTGGACATTATTCTCCCAAACAAACCCTGAAACAAACTCCTCAGCCTCCAGCAGCCTCATAAAGATGCTTCATCATGACATCAATACGTCCTAACAGGTCAGAATTCATCCCTACATTAGAGAAATGTGTGTTTCTGTATGAAAACATCACTGATCTCTCTTTTATGTGACTCTTGTTCTGTCGCTGTGATTCCTGTTAAAGTGATCAAACAGGTGCGTTGATGAAGCGTCTGAGCTCCATGAGGACTGGGCCTCCTGGTATCAGAGGAAATAAAGAGACTCTGAAGGAGAAGTTGAAGGAAAATCTTCCCAAAGGAGCAAAACATACAAAATTCTCACCAAGAAACACATTCTTCAAATCTGTTGATAATATTGTTCTGCAGATATTTGCACATATTATATATATTTGTCATTTTCACCTGATGTTACAGCTTTTTGCAGTTTCTAATATACTGTTTCTGCCACATTCTTCCTCCCACATTTTAACTGTTTTTTTTATTCTTTAGTGTCTGAAAAAGCTTCAACTTCAGTTTTCGGTTTTCTCTGCATTGAGTCTAATTGAATTCGTTTCCTCCTGAGGAGCCTCTTCTCTTCACAGAATAACCGGCAGTAATGAATTAAATAAGCGTGTTCGAGCATCAGCGGCTAATTGATTGATGGCATTTAGCTTTTTAAAGGTTGTGAGAGTAATTTGTTTTTGTTTTGCAGGTTTTTGGAAAAATCAGGCGACGCTGGAGCAGTTTTTATTCCCTTCAGCTTATTGATCCACATCAGAAATGATCAAATCCAGTGTTTATTATTTAGAGATCAATGTTGTATTTTAAAGCTTTTAAAAGGCAAATAACAGTTGATTCAGAGCGAACTTTGCATATTTAACAATGTTCTGTTAAGGTTTCTACAAAGGTTAATAAAGCAACAGCAGCACTAAACCAAGCAGCTCGACGTTTCCCTCCAACACATCTGCGCTGTTTCGTGTCAATCGCTGCTCATTTTCCTGTAAATTAACTCTGAACGAGGCGACTCCTCAGAGATCCGGTGAAGAGTGTTCGCAGCAGCTGGAGGAGACGCTAATTTATTCGTTGGTTTCAGTCGGGATTTGGGGAAATTAAAGCGGTTTTTATTTTACAATCAATGAGGCGTTTTGCTGTATTGTGGATTCCCTCTGAAGTTTGAGCTGTTGCTCTGAAATGAGTCCAATTTATTGATCAAACTCGTTCAGTTCTGAGGCTCAGATCCTCCACAGAGAGCTAATAGGGCTTTGTAAACCTGCAAGCTGCAACGTGGTACTGTTGGCAAGAAGTCAATTACAGGAGCTAATGAGCTAAACCTTCACTGATACAGAAGAAACAGCTTTTAACATCTCAGAGGGTTTGGTGGCCCTGGATCTAGATCTTCCTTCATATATGCATATTTAATATAGAGATTGTCCACTTTGCATACAAATGTTAGCCTGGATTCCTCATAGACCAAAACAGTTCAACTGCATGGAAATATGACTATATAAT